ACAGCTTTAGTTTGCTTAACTCCACTATCAACACTCTTGGAAACAGGAGCCAGCAAATTAAAAGACTAATTACATTTGGAAAGTCTGTTGTCAGAGACTTTTCCAAAGTACTGAAGAGCAGCAGTGTCAGTCTGGAGACTCAGGTGTGCATTATATAGGCCATGGTCTTTGCAATTACTTGCTGTGCATCAGATATGTGGACAATTTACTAGGGATGATAGAAGGAGACTTGATGCCTTTGATTTGTGGTGTTGAAGAAGACTGTTGAATATACCATGGACTGCTAGAAGAAAAAACAGATTCATCCTAGAAAGGGTTAAGCCAGGCAGCACCTTGGAGGCAAGGAATCTTAAGCTTCATCTGACATACTTTGGACATGTTGAAAGGAGGGACCAGTCCTTAGAGAGGGGCATCATGCTTGGGGGTGTGTGGAGGCACAGCGTAAAAGAGGAAGACTTTCTAAGAGATGGATTGATTTAGTGACTGGTGTAATGGGGGGTGAGTGTGTCAGAGACATTAAGGTTGGCACAGGATAGAGCAGGGTTTAGGGCTGTTGTATATAGGGTCGCTAAGAGTTGCAGGCGTCTTGATAGCACATAACGACAATATATTTAAAATATATGTTTACAGAAGACACATGCTTCAAAATGTGTCTTTAAGGTTATAATAACTACTAGAATAGTACATTTCATTCCTCTCTTTGCTAACCTTCCACCATTCCAAGCATAATATCTTTCCCCATAATATATAATATTTCCCCAAAATAATATCCTTCTAGCCACTGCTAGAACATAGAAATTATTGAAATATGTTACTAAAATCACATGCAAGGAAAATCTTGTTCAAAATTATCCTAAGACAATTATAACAGTACATTTACAGAGAACTGCCAGGAATACAAGCTAGATTTAGAAGAGGCCATAGCACTAGGGATATCATTGCTAATGTCAGATGGGTTATGGCTGAACGTATAGAGAACCAGAAGGATATCTATCTGTGTTTAATTAGCTATGCAAAGGAATTTGGCTGTGTGGATCACAACAAATTGTGACTAATATGGAGAAGAATGGGGCTCCCAGAACATCTGACTGTGCTCATGCAAATCCTACACCTACACCAGGAAGCTGTTAGGTGAATAGAGAAAGGGAACACCACATGGTTTAAAATCAAGAAAAGAGTGGATCAGGGTTTATTCTCTTTCCATACCTTTTCATTCTATATGTGGAACAGGTCATTCAGGAAGCTGGACTTTATGAAGAAGAAGGTGACATCAGGATTGGAGGAAGAGTCATCAATAAATTGTTATTTAGTCAACACAGCATTGCTCCGCAAAACTGAGAAGGACTTGAAGCCATTGCTGCAGAATGTCAAAGACTGCAGCCTTCAATATGAATTGCATCATAATATGAAGAAAACAAAGATTATCACTACCAGGTGATAATATTATGATATATAGAGAAAGGATTAAAGTTGTTAATGATTTCATCTTGCTTGGATCTGCTATCAATACTTTTGGCTCCTTCATTCAAGAATTGAACGATAAGATGTACTGGAAAAATTTGCTTATCAAGGATCTCTCCAGAGTACTAAAGATCAACAATGTCAATTTAGAGACTAAGGTGCACATGATGGTCTTCTCAGTTGCTTGTTATTCATCTGAGAGCTGGTCAGTGAATAAGGATGGCAGAAGAAGAATTGATGCCTTTGAGTTATGGTGCTGGAGAAGAGTATTGAACATACTGTAGACTGCCAAGAGAACAAATGGGTCTTTCCTGGAGAGGCCAGAATGAGCCAGCCCTTTGAAGGCAAGGATTTTAAAGCACCTTTTCACATGAAAAGTTTTTCCAGGAAGGGCTATTCCTTGGAGAAGGACATTACACTTGGAAAGGTAGAGGATCAGCCCAAGAGACTCTAGATGAGATGGATTAACACAGTGACGGTGGAAATGGGGTCAAATGTATTGGAAAAGGTTGGGTTGGTTTAGAGTAAGGCAAGATTCAGAGCGATTTTTCATAGGGTCACTATGAGTTGTAGTTGACTCAAAGGCACGTAACAACAACAGCATGCCCAAAGTATGTGAGATGAAGTTTCTCGATACTTGCCTTCCAAGAGCATTTTTAAATTTTTTAAATTTTATTTTATTATTTGGTGTGTATGTACCACCAAATTGGATCTGACTGGTACAGGAAGAGATTGTCCCTTCTACTCCAGCAGAGCATCTGGTGGATTCAAACTGCGTGTCTCTGGGATTCAAAGAGCTTTCTTGTTGCACTTTCTCCAAGATACATCTATTTGTTCTTTTGACAGTACAAGGGATATTCAACATTCTTCTCCACCACCACAATTCAAAGGCATCTGTTCTTTTGTCATCCTTATTCATTGTTTAGCTCTCAGATGCATAGCAAGTGACCATAAAGACTGTATTCAAATGTTTCAGGGATATTAAAAATAGTACAGAACAGAACAAAGTTCAGATATATTGTTCAAAGAATTTCTACAAGTCCTACTTGACTCACCTGCATTCAACAATAACAACAAAATAGTACGTCTACTATAAAGGACCACTTCAAAATACCAAAAAGCCAGGAGGCAAGTTTAAAGACTAGAGTCTGATGAAAACTGTGGTATTTAAAGTTATTTCCTATGCTTCTAAAAATTGAACAATGAATAAGGATAACAGAGGAAGAATTGATGCTTTTGTGATGTTGGAGAAGAGTCCTGAAAATCTTGTAGACTGTCAAAAGAACAAAGAAATAAAGGGACACTTTTGTTTCATGTAATTTAAGCATGATGTCAGGAGAGACAAATCCTTAAAAAATGAAATAAATCATGCTAGGAAGGATGGAGATCAGATAAACAGAGGAAAAGCCTCAGCGACAGGGATTGGCACATTACTGTAATCATGGGCTCAAGGATGTTGGAAACTGTAATGATGGCAAAAGATAGAGTAAGGTTCAACTCTCTTGTTCATAGGGTTTTGATGAATTGTAGCTGACCTAACAACAAAAAAATCACAAAATTATACACATGAGGCAAGAAAAGTCATATGTTTTGATTTTGAGATCTAATTTGAAATACGAAAACTGCTGTTGTTAGGTATTGAGTTTGTTCTAAAAATGGCTACCTGTCTCACAGCTATGTGTTCTTAAACATTCTAACTTATCAATAAAGTAACATTTTAAAATATTTTATAGATTTTAAATATTTTATTGAGAAATCTTCTGAAATTCAGTTTATTCTTATTATGGTTTTTCTTTACCCCTGTGTTGCTTTTTGACATATTTCTCCTACATGCAAAAAGTTATGGTTTTGTTGTAGTTGAATTGCCTTTTGGAAAGACTAAAGGATATCTGTTACAAGACTATTACCAGGATTAAATTTAAAGCAAGAATTAAGAAAGTCAAGTAGCAATTAGCAGAAGGAAAACATGGGGAGCAAATAGAAAAGCATTAATAGTTTTACCTTTTAAAAATGTTATAGAATTGAATTGTCCAGTATGACTGAGTGACACGTATTATTACATATTTGTAATATATTTTATCTAATTCATTTTTTCTTCCACTCACATAGCGTTCATTCAGAAAATTCAAGGGTATAGTTGTGACAAAACAGGGTTGTTGTTTCCCCACCTTCTTTGATTTCTCTATATGTACTACTTATATTGAATATTTACTTTGTTATACTGTCAGTATGTTTTCTTTCACACCCTTGACAATATTTAATGTTATCAGGTGAAAAGGTTGCGTGTGTGTGTGTGTGTGTGTGTGTGTGTGTGTGTGTGTGTAAGAGATAGAAAAAGGTTTAGTCTTACGTGGAATGTGATAGTTATAGGCATCATTTATCAAGATCTATGTCCATGGTCTTTGCTATCACTTGTTATGCATCAGAGAGTTGGACAATGACCAAGGAGGATAGAAGGAGAATTGATGCCTTTGAGCTGTGGTGCTGGAGAAGAGTATTGAGAATACCATGGACTGCTAGGAAAACAAACAGATTTGTCCTGGAAAGGGTTAAACCGGGTGGCTCCTTGGAGGCAAGGATTCTGAGGCTCCGTCTAACATACTTTGGACATGTTGTGAGGAGAGACTGGTCCTTAGAGAGGGACATCATGCTTGGGAGGGTGGAGGGACAGCGCAGGAGAGGAAGGCCCTCTATGAGGTGGATAGATTCAATAACTGGGGTAATCGTGATGGGTGTGTTGGAGATAGTGCAATTGGCACAGGATAGAGCAGAGTTTAAGGTTGTTGTACATAGGGTCCCTATGAGTCACAAGCGACTGGACGACACATAACAACAAGTTCTAGTTTTATTTACAGTATCAGAATTTGAATATTTCATTGATAAACTTTATACTTACATATTATTTTTAAAAAACACTCAGCCAAGTTTTCTGATATAGATCATGAATAATATTTTAAATACTCATATAATAACTATCATGAAAAACAAAAGCAGGAGTACCTTATTAATAAAAGAAAAAGAATAGAAAAACATTTGAGACACAAATTTTATGAATTGTTTTACTGAAATAAAACTGTTAGGAAATATCGTTAAAGAAATGAAAAAACAAGAAAACTAAGAGGAGGAAAGTTCAAGTAAATTTGGCAAAATTATTTCTCAACTGTGGCCACATATGAGTGTAATTCCAGGTATATTGGAGAATATGACTCCAATGGGGCAGAAGTACTCCACAGAGAGGAACCAGCCACAAGTGACTATCAACAGGACCTAAGATGTTGGAAAAGAAGTAGTATGGCTGTAACAGAATTATCACAAATCATTTTTAAGAAGTCAAATAATTAATGAATTAGAATAGAATGAAATTGTTTTTGCCATGTTTCCAACTTTTTTAAACTGGGTATGTGATGGTGCTTTTTTACTTTCTTAAAGATGTTAACATTTGCTTATGCACAAATACATGTGATATAGTAATTGCTCAATTAACTTAATTCACAGAATGTGAACGCTTTCTTATCTATATGCACGTTTGAATCCAATAGGCCAGAACCTGTTTTGTGGACAAAGGATGGAGGAGAATTACCAGATCCTGACCGAATGGTTGTGAGTGGTAGAGAGTTAAACATTCTTTTCTTGAACAAAACGGATAATGGTACATATCGATGTGAAGCGACAAACACCATTGGTCAAAGCAGCGCAGAGTACGTTCTCATTGTACATGGTGAGTACTTTTCTGAAAATAGTATACAAAAAATAATGACTGATCTGAAAAATTTTATTTGACGAAATTATTTAAAATACGAAGCAAAATCCAACAGACTTCCTAGTTTGGTTTTCTTTTTCTTTTAGAAGAACTCTTCATATATGTAACTATCTCCAAGATTCTTAATTAATACGGTTCATCAATCCAGGCTAATAAAATTGCAACATCTACTAAAGAAATTAATATTTCTGTGAAGGTTCTTTTAATTTTAAATTCATTTGTATGATTCTTAGTGACCACTAGTGTATTAAAGGGTATTTTCTAATTTTATAAGTCAGATCTTTTAATTCATTTTGTGAGTAATAAAAATACTTCCATTGTTTACTTTGCTCACATTATTATAAAATAGACTTTATCATTAATATAATTTTTCCCAAAGAATCATGTTACTCACTGAAATATACAAAGATAAGGTATAGAATACTACAAATGATATTCATTTTTATGAGTAATAATTTAAAACTCACAGACAAATAATTTTTTAAATCATTTTTTGATATTGTAGGTATATATAAGAAAGACGAAAATACCAATGCATATGTGTGAAAAGAATAACTGTAACCCAGCTTTGAAATATCACATTTAGTTTTTGACAGGATGATATTACCATAGGGTTAAATGATGATAAATTATGATATTGTGGTTACTAACACTAGGCAGGCTAAAATATTATAAGAATTCTTTGAGTGTATTTTATAATCCTGGGTGCATTTTAATCCATAAACTTTAGAAGCAATGATTAATTTAATCCTTTCCATATATCTGACCAAGGGAACATTTTATGAAGCTTCTATTGTGTTCTGCATTTCATTGTAGTGTTTTGACTTAGTGGTGAGATTCCTTGAGTTGGTTGCATTCAGAATGAACTAAATGCTACTTGTATCATTCTCACACTTGTTGCTATGTGTGAGCCGTTATTGGAACCACTGTCAAATATCTTGTTTGGGACCATCTTCTTTTTTCCTATTCTTTTTGCAAAATTTTTACTCAGTCAAGCATGATGTCTTTCTCCTGTAAGGAGAGATCTCTGGCAACAAGTCCTAAGTACATAAAATAGAAGACTCATCATTATCTCTTTATAATAATATTCTGGTTATAATTCTTCCAAGATAACTTTAAACATTCTTCTCATAATATATGATTGTTGTTGTGTGCCACCTACTATTTTTGTCAAGACTATAGTTCATTGACATCAATTCTTCTTCAATCTTATTTTTGTTCAAATTTTGTATGACTATAAGAAATTGAACTATATACCATGCGTGCGTTAAGTTCACCTTAGTCCTTCAAATAACATTATTTCTTTAAAACACTTTACGGTCTTTTGCAACAGTTTTGAACCCAATACACAACATTGTTGCCTTTCTGACAGTTGCTTCCATAAGTGGCAATTATGGACCTAAGTACAATAATTTCCTGACAATCTAAAACCTATTGGTTTATTGGTCCAGTTGTGAGATATTTTTTTTTCTTTTGAGGTATGATCAATAAGAAGGTTATAGTCTTTAATCTTCCGTAATATGCACTTGAAAGTCCTCTTTGCTTTCAGCAAGTAAGGTTGTGATGTCTACATAACACAGGTTGTTAATGAGGCTTCCTCCAACCTGATGCCAGATTCCACTCCATGTATTTCAAGCTCTTAAGTGTTTGTTTAGTATATAGATTTTATAAACCTTGTGAAAGAGTAAAATGCTAACACATATTTTTTCCTGATTGTACCATGCAATGGCTTTTTAGGAATAATCATCTCTTGACCTATTTACAAGTTCAAAATGAAAAAAATTTAAGTGTTCTAGAATTCTTGTTTTAACAATGTTATATACATAATTTGCTATTATCTACACAGTCTAATAATGCCTTTGTATTCTAGTTTTCTTTAGCAAAAGTCTATATGAAATCAACAATAATAGTTATTGTTCCAAGTCAACTTTTGAGTCCAGCTTAGACTCAGGAGTTCAAGTAGTTCCTTTGCAATATACTATTGCAAACATTATTGTATTGTCTTCAGCAAGATTTTCCTTGGATGTGATATTAAATATATAATTTAAAAATATGTGCATGTTATTGGATCACATTCACTGGTATAGTAAATTAGTTAGGTATCTTTCTTGCCAATTCCTTGGCACAGAAAATGAACAGTTCCAACCTTGTACACACTTATTGATCTATGTCAGATAGTATTTGGACCATTTTCTCAGTTTTCACTAAAGCCATCAGTGAAGTTCTGAATTTTTCCTGAAATTCTTTCAGGCACTTTTTTTTACTGTATCTTATACTCTAAATTTTATTTAATTCTTTCTATACCATTCAATTTTTAACCCAAAGAGTTATTCAGCGTTGCAATTTGAGGCTTTAAATTTTTCTTCAGTCATTTGTTTTCGAAATCTCTGGTTTCTTCTTTCTTGGTTTCCTAATTTCAAGTCTTTTAACATTTTGTTAACATAATACTTCCTTTTTTAGCCAACTTATGAAATTCTGCATTTAATTATTTTATAGTCTCTTCTAAGATCTATTTTGATCTTCTCTTCCTCTTTCCTGTATTTTTAATGACTTCTTGCTCTCTCTATTTTTGCTCAATTACAAAATAGTTGTATTTGAGTTTTATAAAGCATCAAATATAAGTAACTTGAAACTGTAAGAATACACAAAAGTTGGTTCCTTACATAGACATCCCAGGCAATGAAAACTGAAAATTTTAGTAAATTAACATTGTTTTACTGTAATATACATAGTCTCAGTTATTTAAAAACAGGTTTTTATATATAACATTTTCTTCTTAAATCTGTTTCAGTGAGAAGATAAACATGGTTAGATCTAGTCTATATTTTTCCTTCTAATAGGAAATAAAGACTTACTATCTGGGGCTTCGCCTGACATACTTTGGACATTAAAGAGAGACAGGTCTTTAGAGAGGGACATCATGCTGGGCAGAGTGGAGGGACAGCACAGGAGGGGAAGACCCTCTATGAGGTGGATTGATTCAGTGACTGGGTCACTCGGGATGGGTGTGTCAGAGGCAATGAGATTGGCACAGGATACAGCAAGGTTTAGGGCTGTTGTACATAGGGTCGCTATGAGTCACAAACGACTCAACGGCACATAACAAAACAACATCACCTTTACTAAACCACAATATTTTTAAACTATTAAATGATACCTAAAGGTCATATAATTAAAAAGCAACATGTTTTGCATTTAGGTACAAATTTTGTTCAACGAATTTTTAACTATGTTCCTGCTTTCAGCATGGCATGCTATATTCATTTCTTTTTTTTTCCTTTGCTATATTTATTTCTAATAATTCTAGCAAAGTGAATGCTTTCACAGGTAGCAGAGCCATTTCCACATGATTGGTGTGAATATTTTTCCTCTTTCTATATGTATCTTCTTCAAACTACGTTTGTCTAATTTTTTCCTCCAATTTCTTTCTTCTTCATTAATGCTAGAATGATTCGAAGGACATTCTTCATCTGAATTAACTATAAGCTCTTGTGCTATAATTACAGAAGCCTGGGCTCATCATCACTACCCTTGGTTATGATTTTGGTAGTGTCTTCAGCTGGTTTGGATCCCACTTTTCTGAGGCTCAATAACCACTTCAAATTCAATATCCCTTTTTAGATCTTTACTGTGAAGAAGATTAATGGACAAAATATAGTCCTGAAGGAACTGTCATTTCTAATTCCAAATTCTGGCAACTTCTTGTGATTATTAGCTTCTTTCTCTCCCTCTTCTGAAGACATGAGAATTGTCCCTTTCCTATATTCAGTCTGTACATCTGGTGCTACTATAGCAAATTTTTCTTTTGCTGTCTTATCTTGTATTGTGAGAATAGTCATTTTACAGACATTCAGACGGTCACCGCTGGCTTACTGGTATGTACATAGCAGTTCTGGCTAGGAGAATTTGGTGCACAACATACAAAAAGCTAGGGGAGCTCTGGTGGCCTAGTGGCAAGAAGCTGCAACTACAATCCCAGAGGTGCACAGTTCGAATCCACCAGATGCTCTGCCGGGGAAGGAGGGGCAATCTCCTCCTGTACCAGTCAGATCTGATTTGATGGTACACACACCCAAAAATAATAAAATAAAAAAAATATTTTAAAAAAATACAAAAAGCTTCTTTCTTGGATTTGGTAGCTTGTTTTAAAAAAATGTTCTATATTACTCTATCTTTTCTGAGAAATTCTTTAATATTTCCAATATTTTAAACCCAGAAATTACTGAATTAGTAGTAGCAACAGAAGGACTGATGTTCACTGCCATTACTTTTATAGCAAATCAGCTCTGCATGTTCATACTGAAGATATGTATTATGAAGTTTGCAGCATAGGTGGCAAACGGGTCATCCTTGTCCCAGATGAGCTCAACTCCAGCCCCTTTTCCTTTAAACTCTCAGAGTTTCAATGTTTGGGGGAGGAGGAGACCTTGAATAGTTAATTACAGCTATAACTTGTCTTTCTGATCTAATGGAGTTTCATTTTGTTGATCAGATAGATTGATTTCTTCCCTTTCACTTTGTACTTCAGCCTACTACAGTGGAACTACAGATTTTCTTTTTCTCCATAGTTTGTCCTTAGCCAATAGATACCAGATATCGTCTTTGGAAATCTTTATAAGAAAGTTTGACTGGGCCTTAGCCAGTTGACTTAGCCTATTCCTTAGTGAAAAATATGTTTAATGCCACCTTTTTAATTTGACAGACTGGCTCTGGCTTCAGGGTCATTCTGTCAGGAGATACTTCTTGATCTGTATCTTCTTCTCCAAACAACTGGTTGAACAAGTATTTTGCCCAAAGGATGTAATAAGTAGGTTCTGAAGCTGTATTGTAAATCATACAGCCAGGAAAAGTTATCTGTGTTGGTTTAGAGTGACATTCACAACACTCAGTTATACCCTTTTTTTTATAATAGTTACTAGTCCAAGATAACCAGCAGTTCTACTCTCAATAAGAGGCAT